CGATGGCCGCGGGCAGCGCTATCCAGATCCCGAGCCGCCTGCCGCTGCTGTTGACCCACGAGGGTGTCCTGCTGCCCGGCTCCACCATGCGGACCAGCGTGGACTCCCCGCGGAACATGCAGCTGGTTCGCAGCCGCCTGCTCAAGGGCACTTCGCTGCGCAGCACCATCATCGGCGTCATCCCCAACACCAGCGACCCCACCTCGGACTGCGACGACCTGCCCTCCCTGCACAGGTGCGGCACGGACCGGCGCGGGCCGCGGGGGGAGGCTCTGCCTGTCCCTGTGCTTGTCCCTGTGCCTGTCCCTGTGCTTGTCCCTGTCCCTGTTGCCTGTTCCTGTCCCTGTCGCCTGTTGCCTGTTCCTGTCGCCTCTGCCTGTTCCTGTCCCTGTTGCCTGTCCCTGTGCTTGTCCCTGTCCCTGTGCCTGTGCCTGTTGCCTGTCCCTGTGCCTGCTCCTGTTCCTGTCCCGGTTGCCTGTTCCTGTCCCTGTTGCCTGTCCCTGTGCTTGTCCCTGTTGCCTGTGCCTGTTGCCTGTCTGTTGCCTGTCCCTGTTGCCTGTCCCTGTTGCCTGTCCCTGTTGCCTGTCCCTGTTGCCTGTCCCTGTTGCCTGTCCCTGTTGCCTGTCCCTGTTGCCTGTCCCTGTTGCCTGTCCCTGTTGCCTGTCCCTGTTGCCTGTCCCTGTTGCCTGTCCCTGGGCCTGTGCCTGTCCCTGAGCCAGTGCCTGTTCCTGTTCCAGAGCCTGTGCCTGTCCCTGGGCCAGTGCCTGTCCCTGTTCCAGAGCCTGTTCCCGTCCCTGTCCCTGTTCTTGTGCCAGTGCCTGTCCCTGTGCCTGTCCCTGTCCCTGTGCTTGTCCCAGTGCCTGTCCCTGTGCCAGTGCCTGTCCCTGTCCCTGTTGCTCTGTCATGTCTAGAAGGGAAGTTCGAGAGAAGGACACTTCCCTGTGCCAGTGCCTGTCCCTGTCCCGGTTGCTTTGCCACATCCAGAAGGGAAGTTCGAGAGAAGGAGACTAAGGTAGAAGATGAGAGTAAGACCAAAGAACCAGGCTGGGAGCTTTGAGGTTGTCACAGCTGTTAGCCATAATGTTTTTCACCTTAGCTATGGCATTTTTCACCTAACAAGTGACACATGAATGAAAACGAGCTGATTTCTGTAGGTAAAGTGTGAATAAAACTAACATGCTGTAACCTTTACTCTCCAAACTTTACCGTATCAGTGGGCTTGGTAAAGTTTTGCAAGAAAAAATAACTTCTGATTTCAATCTGGTTAAACAGTATGAGGCTGGCAATGTCACTGAAGGACTGTGAATTACAATCACTGTTTCCCAGTGTGTGTGTGGTTCAAGCAGAAATTTCAGTGTGTCTGTTCATAGGAAGATCCTATCAGTTATTTATATATTTCTAAACTAGGTGACTGTACTACAGTATCTTAATTTTTCAGTTAGCTCCTTCATTTTCAGGTTTTAGGGTTTGGTTTTGTAATTTGTTACAAAGGAAATTGTATAATTTGGTTGCCTTTCATGATAAGTAGCTGTGACCCAGAAGGGTCTTGCAACCTCTGGCTTGATTGCTTTGTGATAAGGGGCACACAGAATGTTCAGTGGAAGGTGACAGCTAATACAAGGACTTGATCTGTTTTTAGGATTGGCACTGCTGCCTTGGCAGTTCAGGTGGTTGGTAGCAACTGGCCCAAGCCACATTACACACTGCTGGTCACAGGCCTGTGCCGCTTCCAGATCCTGCAGCTGCTGAAGGAGAAGCCTTATCCCATTGCTGAGGTGGAGCAGTTGGATCGACTGGAGCAGTTTACTAATCAGCCCAAATCTGAGGAGGAGCTTGGAGAGCTGTCAGAACAATTCTACAAGTATGCAGTGCAGGTAATTTGTTTGAATCTTATGTATCGTGTTTATGTGTTATATTTTGGGGTTTTTTTTCGGTTGTTTCCTATCTGCTGTGCTGGTTTGAGCTGAAGTAGAGTTAACTTTCTTCATAGAGGCTAGTATGAGGCTATGTTTGGGTTTTGTGCAGAACACAGAGTTGATAATGCAGAGATGTTTTTGTTATTGCTGAGCAGAGTTTACACAGAGCCAAGGCCTTTGCTGCTTTCCGTACTGCCACGCTGGCGAGGGAGTTGGGGGTGCATGGGAGATTGGGAGGAGACACAGCTGGGACAGGTGACCCAAACTGACCAAAGGAATATTCCATACCATATGACATCATGCTCAGTATATAAGGTGGGAGGAAGAAGGAGGTAGGGGGGACATCTGGAGTGATGGCGTCTGTCTTCCCAAGGAACCGTTATGCGTGATGGGGCCCTGCTCTCCTGGAGA